ATACGAAGAAGTATGAGTAAAGATAAACCTACCTCGCTTCAGGTGTGTGTATCTTTGTTTCCCGTGAAGTTTCTAGGCCGATTTATGACAATTTCGGTCATTTTTAGCTTCACTGCTTTTCCACCTAAATTGTCGTAAATCGGCCTAGAAACCTCACGAGAAACAAAGAAACAAACACCTGAAGCGAGGTAGGCTTATCTTTATTCATACTCCTTTGTATTTTTGAGCCGTTTTTCCCGTGCAAATCCTTACAGTTCGACTGTTGCGTAACCTGAGTACTACTGTAATTACAGGTACGCTCATTTGCGAGCTTAGGTCACCTGTGGAAGAACTGGACTGAAAAAAACTGTGAAAGCACTGACCAGCGGCTTGTGTTTCACAGCATTTTTCGTTCTTCTAAACTGCACCTCGAAAAACGTTTTCTATTGCTTAAATGTATGCAATTGCTGATAAACGCAACATGTCTGCCGAAAGTAACATTTATGTTAATGAGGAAACAAAAAACGCCGTTGTAAACAAGCATTGCACTTTATCCCAAGAACTTAAATTACCGGCTCACAGTTTTCTCATAACCTTTGTAACCTCTATAAATCCAAATAGGTATTGAATTCAAGGCACTGATTATATCAGTTCTTTGCTATGAATTAGCATTTTGGGAATCTCGATATGCTCCAATTGACGTAACACCTAACATGATTCCACCTTTGTACGAGATCTGATATGATATCGTCAAAACGCTGAAAGGTGAATGTAAAGCAGAATAAGATAAGATCTGGGGTCATCATTATATACTTACAAGCTGTAGAACCACTGAAGATGGTCTTGCTTGGTCGTCTTCAGGAACTGTTCATTGTTAGCTTATTAACTAATGACCGGATGTTGGAGGAACTGAACATGCTGCGAGGGATCATGGGAAAGATCTCTTTAGTGGAGAATCAATGATTCAGTGCTGCATTCATTTTCAAAGTCTGTTGAATAGATGGTGTCTTATCAAGCCTCCTTTCTCTTAATTTGAATTTGAATTCCACTAGTAATTATTGTTTATATTGGGGAATGATCGACCTATGTACATATTACAATTGTCATTTTAACGGCAGACCATCGTGTACGGTGATGTTTCAAACGCATGAAATTCCCGGGGGGGACACTCCCACTCTCATTCGGCGGTGCTGGTCGGAAATATTGAAAAGAAGCCCTAAGAGGCACTAAGATTGTATTTTTGGGTCTGGCTTGGAATTTTTTACACCCCTAAGAGGTACTAATTTTTAAACACCACTATTAATTTCCTGTCCGACTTTTTTGGCCCAATACCCCAAGAGATACCGCAGAAGCTGCCGCTGTGGACCCTTTGAGGCTGAACACACTAAGAGATAACAAAACTACGTTTTTAACCCTAAAAGGTACGACGAGCACCCCCGTCCTTTTTATATGGGAGTCCCCTCCCCTCCCGGGTTAAATTTAAGCTGCAGACAAAGCGTTAAAATTGAATGATTGTTTAGCCCCGTGATAACTCCATTGTGTCAAGACAGAAGCAAGTTTCGCGATCCAAAATTGTTTTGCCATTTCCGAAGGTTAGCCGATTCTACAGTATCTGCTTATTGACTGAGTGGTAGGACCAGACTGCATCGGGCACCGAGCGCAGCGCCACAGTGCGTTTTAATAACAGGCGACCTAAGCATAATATGACACTTTGAATGGGGAACGGGAGCTGAAATTGAAATCGATCAATGTACGGGTAATTCACTAAATAAAAACTCTTAAAGCATTGTTTGGTGTCATTTCTTCCCATCCTGGGGGTGTTAAAACGAAATTTGAGCGAATTAAGATCATTTACCCAACGGTGTTATAAGTCAGGTAATAACAGATCGGTCATTATTTCATCATCAATTGACTAACGGTTGATTTAAGAGCAATTATTTTCTCCCTTTCCAACACCAAAGTGGTATCATTCCTCTTACATGGTAAAATGTCAACCAGGACTTTTCTAAACTCAAGCAAGGTGCTCGAGCAAATTTGAATTGAAAAGCTGCAAGTTGCTTGGAGTAAACTTTCAATCAGTATTGAAAGATTACGCCGAAACATTAGCGAGTTCCCTCAAAATAACATCCTGTTTTTGACTGTAAAGCTATCGCATGGGTAACAAAACCAAATTCCAAATGAAGGTGGGGTCCTGTAGAGGAAAATGTTTGCCACATTACAACAGGTAGCTGGCACCAGACAAGGAAAGGAGAGCTGTGAAGTTTCAACTGCCTCCCAGCTGACATTACGCCAAACTGGAAGAGAAGCAAGAAGGTAAACTATACTACATTTTTTACTTTTTATTTTTATAGAAAAAATGCTCATTTTAGCATACAGTTACGTAAAACGATCAAAATATATCAATAACTAAGCAGAAACCAAACAGAAACAGAGACCAAAGACGCGCGTTACCGACTAAATTTGGTGATGTTTTACGATAAAAATTAGGGTTTTGTATCACCGTCAGTCGTTGATTAAGTGGCCATTCAGGTCGACAGGTTGATTTTGGCAGCTGTGAGGCGTTTTATTGGCCATTGTCATTGAGAGCTACTGAGGTGTGGTACTCAAGCCAGCTCAGCAATTATCGATCTATATTACGAACTAGTCTAATTCAAACTTCTGGCCTATTTTATCTACCCCTAGACTAAGGGGAATTTCTTGTATTACGACCTTTTTAAAGTCGTTTTGAACAAACTCAAACTTGGTGCTTACGGTTGCAATTTTTGAAGCGTGTTTTCCAGTTTGGTGATGTGAACTCATCTATACCTAACACCTCGCAGTCTGTCGTTAAACGGTCGAGCAACAAACATAGGCAAAGGGGTACCTTCAGACTTGGTGGGGCGGTGACCTTACCGCCCGAAAAAAATTACACAGTGCCCGAAAGCGTGAGTGTTTCAAACGCACTCAAATTGCAGTAAAAACAAAAACGTTCTCAATTCTCACGTCTAGTGAAAGTGTTATTATTTCAAAAATAGTTATTTGGAAAACACGCATATTCTATTTACCTTGATCGACAGCCTAGTAAAATCAGAAACTTATAAAAGAAACAGTTAATTCTTCTTCGTACGAAAAGATCCAGAAAAAATTTAAAACGGCTATTCGGACCCATTCAAAACGGCTCTTTTCAGTGCCACCACAAAAACAAAAGTCTTGGTCTTCGTTTGCTTTGATTCTTTTGTAATTGTTTTGTTGATGGAAATAATATATAAAGGGCTTTCCACAAGTTGCTTGGCATATTTTTAGCTTTTTTGGCAACTTCTGGCAGGACTTTCCACAAGTTGCTCGGGAACGTTTTGCCAACTTCTCGTATTTCGAACAGTTTTTTTCGTTTTGAGCAACTTTTTTTTCCGAACAACTTTTTCAAATATACGATCTTTCATATCTTCACTTGCATTCGTCACCATCCACGGGAATATTACGAACTCACAACGTGACCAGCTCCAAGTTGGCTTGATAACTCAGTTGGTAGAGCACTGCACCGGTATCGCAGAGAATCCCGTTCAGGCCTAAATTTCTTTGAGGCTTTAATTTCACAACTGCTTAAGTTGTGTGCATAACTGCAATGATCAATTATGTCTTCATATTTTTGCATCTTCTGACCAATTTCTAGGTTTCTATCAATTCTGAGAAATCGGAGCAGCTTTTAGTGCCTAAATTGGCCTTGCTTCCATATTTCACAATGTTTTTGTATGCAACTTTTAAGTTTCCTGTGAAAAAGGAGCCAGATCCCCCGTCTCCTCTGGGGCAGATGATGGGTGCAAGATGCATGCAGCCGGGCTGCTAGGTCAACGGACGAAGATTCACACTCGACTGACTCGAGTGTCTCAAGATTAATATTGGTGCGTAGTCTTTAATTGAGGACAAAGTTATTCAGCAAAGCTGGCTACACCACAAAATTGCACAAAAAAAGCTTAGAAATCTTACTTTTGTCGTACAATTTGCATATTTTTGTACCAGACCATTTAAAGGAAAAGAGGGACTCGGTAAACAAACTTGTTGTCCCCTTTCCAAGAACTAACTACATGAAAAATAGTTTTAGTTACAGTGGCGCTACCCTTTGGAACAGCTTACCCTGTAACATTAGAGAGTCTGGTTCATTAAACAAATTTAAACGCCTTCTCTACCATAATTTTTAAACACGGCATTCATAAAAACCAGGATTTTTCTTAAGTGGCATATTAATGCAAGTTAATATAATGTTAGGATTTGGATTTTTAGTCGTTATTATGTAATTTTTTCTACCTGATGTTTTTACCGTATATAAATAATGAAGATGAAAGAAAATTTGAATTGCAAGTTGCAAGTTACTTTGAGCAAACTGTCAATCGATATTGGAACATTGCGCGGCAACATTGCAGAGTTTCCCTCAAAAGAACATCCGGTTTCACTGTTATTTGTTGGAATAGGCGAAATTAATAGAATTGTTATATTGCAGCTATTCATAAATCTTGTAAAATTAGTAGAGCTAATGAGAGGGTCGGTAAGTACATACCAGAACTCTTTCTACTCCCCTTGGGATGTCTTCGACAGGATGTAAGTCCATCTAAGGCTCCCCCCTCCCCCTCCCCAGAAACATTTTATCAGTGGTTCTCAGTTATACGCTTGATTGGTATTCTGTGAGAGTACAGTGGCTTTATGAGGAACGCAGCTCCAGAGTGGCCTGACCCTCTCAGTCGACGGGGCTTGTGCAAGAGGAGCCCAGCCAGGCAAGTCTCAGTAGACTGGAAACAGTGACAACGACCTGCGCTCGAACCAGTCTATCGCACAAACTATCAGGCTACCTGCCTCTTCATTCCCACCCCCCGGAAAAAAAAAAAGAATAAACCAAAAAAAAACAGATACGCGTCCATTTCCCTAGGCCTTCGAGAAAACCTTGTAGGGAAGGCTTTGTACCTGATCTAATTATCAAACGGAGCAAACGCAGGGCCTGTTTGCAAGTGAAGGCCTACAAGGCCCTATAATAGCACAGAGTGAAACGATAATAACCCTTGAATGTGTTTATTGCAAATTCCGCTAAGATGCCGGAAATGGGAAACTTTAATCGTTAAAAAAGCAGGCACAATTTACTGGCTAAAAGTTGAGTCGACTTTCAACAGGAGCTCGGATCAAGTCCTTATCTGTTTTATGCAGTGAGTTTTAAAGTTTTAACACCATCTTTTCCCTTTATTTCTCAAAAAAATTCCTAGATGTACATCGCACTACATGAGAAAAACTTACAATTTTCAGCAGTCTGCCCACACTTCACAGAATATTTTGGCTTTTATATTATTATTATTATTATTATATATATATATTTTTTTTTTTTTTCGCTTTCAGCATTTACACATGCATGAAAAGCCTGGGTGTTGCCCGGCGTTGAGTATTCGTCACTAACAAATTGATCCACTCTACACAATTACCATTACAAACACCAAAGTACGGGTATAGCATCACATTCATTTATCCTACGTCTTGGACGATTTAGGATTTAGCTTCTATGCAATAGCGTTTTCTGCCATAATGTGCTTCGAGTCACAGTTACCAATTGTTCCCCGGAAATTTTATTCATTGTGCGAGAAATTGCCTGATGTAACACACCTTGAAATGAACGTCTCGCAACGGTTTTGTACAGCTCCACAAATGATCCGCAAATTGGACCGTAAATGATCTCACATTGGACAATAAATTATCCGCAAATGGGACCGAAAGTCATCCCAAATTGTACAATAAATGATCTCCCAACTGGACCGTAAATGATTCCGATAAATTCCGTTTCGCAACGGTTTTGTACAGTTCCACAAATGATCCCCAAATTGGACCGTAAATGATCTCAAATTGGACAATAAACGAACCCCAAATTGGACCGTAAATGATTTCGTCGAAAAAAAAAAAATAATTGAAACAGTATGGATAAAGGGGTGGATAATGGAATGATGTGGTAACGTGTTACACCGAATTTTTGCGGTTTCTAATATATGTTGCGTTCTTTGCGGGTTTTGCTTTCATGGCCCACAAAAAAAAAAACTAGCAAATCTTTACACCAGGTCACAAACACATAGAAGGCAAAGTTTACAAGGTTGAGATGACCTTACTAACTTTTGATTTTAAAACCAGAAGTCCCACCAACGACGAACGACTGTCAACTGAGGGTTAAATTAACTTTTTAGCCAACCTTGCGTTACTTAGTCATTGACATTAAAAAGCTTCTCCAATGCATGTACAAATGTTTCAATTTTTTTCTTTATTATTTTTCTTTAATTATTTTCTCTTGTTTATTATTTCGTTTTAAATTTGTCATGAATTAGTAGTTTCAACAGCTTCATAAAAATATCCATGCCATTCATTTTTTAACGGGATCATTTGCAGTCCCGTGATCATTTGCGGTCCCATGATCATCGCGATTCCGTGATCATTTGCAGGGCTGTACAGTTTCGCTGCAGTAAGCGTTGCACGAAACAGGACGAAATCAAATTCTCCATTTCAAAAGGATTGCGGAAACTCGGCAACAAAAACTTTATGCTTGCCCACAGCAAGCAGTCTTGTGCGGCCTGTCTCGTAACGGTGAACAAAGATCAAGAGATCGAGCAGCCGCCATCTTGGTCTTGATAGTAGATTACGCCAGCTTAGAAAGCTGTCACATTCAGAAAATTGCAATCACTTGTGCAACATTTTAAGGAATACCACGGCAAACCCACTGCATAACTTCTTGGTTGCATTCCATCACCACTTTGCGTATGTCCTTAAAGGTTTGGTTCAATAACAGAAGGTAAAATATCAGGAACATTCTTTATCCTAAAGTCTAGAAGCATCTGACCAAGGGCTTTACCCTGCGAAAAAAAGATATACGGCAAGTGTGATCACTGTTATATGTTTTTGAGCGGTCTCCCTTTAATCAAAATTTCCAAAACATTTGATTCGGTGGGGTCTTCGGGGAAACTTCAGATGGAACACGGTTCGTTACAATCGCCACCAGTTTGAAATTTCATATCAACGGAACGTTGGCTTCTCTAGCAGTATTTTTGTTGCTGTTTTTTTTTTCGTCGAAGACGATAGATTGTACGAGAAATCACGGGTGTAAAACATAGATTTTCAAAAGGCAAGATCGTAGTCGGGACAAATAAGATTTCACATCAGCCACAACGAGTGGGCATCTCTTTTGGACTAACGAGAAATGTACAAAACAGTTGAACAAACTTCTTTCACAATGTTGGTCCAAAATGAAAACTAGAATACTGATTGGTTCCCTTAGCGGTCCGAATTTCGCAATACGGACCGCTAAGATGGACCGCTCATGAAAAAGTTTCGACGAATTGCTTTTTCAAAACATTGTATCTGGCGGACAATTTGAGTTGAACTTTCCCGAAACCGACCTGAAAAAACGTGAATAAGTGCACGTGAATATCGCTCGCACGTTACCAAGAAAGGATGGCAGGCACGCATTCATTTATCAGCAGAATTTTAAAAGAGCCATTATAATAAATACTTTATTGAGTTGGCTCGTTCGGTCCGTTTTGAGAATTTTTGGTCTCGTTCTTTTTTTGGCAAGGTTACGAACCTCGCCCGCTGTGTTTCTTAAGCCTTACCTGTGGATCACTGCGAAGTGAAGTTACCCCACCCCCTCCTAATGCGTCCTCTAAAACAAAGTTGAACGCGTTGATTCCAGGAAGCTCGTATCTAAAACAAACAAACAAAAAAGAGAACGTGGGTTTACTTAAAGGAACTGTGTCACGATGTAATGTAACCTAAAAAAACTTACAAACGAAAGATAGGAAAACAGTAAGGGACAACAATACACTTAACACTCCGTTACCGCCATTGGTGAATATTTAACCATGGTTAAAAGTGGTTTAACTAAACAACAGCAAGGGTACAATTAGTTGTTCATACCGTGCACACCACACAACTTACAAAAACCTTTTTAATTAAAATATGGTAGCAAGAGTTTTTGAAATTTATCTTTTCAAATGACTGCAAAGGGTAATCGACAAATTGGGAAAACCTAAACCTGATTTAGTTAAACTAGTTTAGCTGGTGTGAATGGGGTATAAGATGAACTGAGAATGGCTCAAAGTGGAGAGGGCAAGTTACGAACAACAAACTTCTAACAATGTGCGCTGAAGTATTCAACATGCACATTCCGCGACGTAGCTCCTTCAATGATGCAACTAATACAAGGAAATTACACCCGCTTTCAGTGTTACGTGCATAGGCAACATCTTTCGACATGCCATCTTTCGACATGCTATGAAAGACCGTTAAACTGTGAAACTGGTAGTTTTTCCGGTTATTAGCAGAGGAAATGACAAGTAAATGATAATTACCTACCTCAAATGGCTGAAGAAGATTTTGGACTTTGCATGCTTCCCTATTTACGGAATGATTCAAGCGATTTAGTGTAATCGATCCGTTCTCAATAGTGACTTCCGGTAGAATTGGGTCGCTGCCGCTTTTGATATTCGCAACGTGTAAACATTCAAAACAGTCGACTTATTTCTGCCAGAATGACTTCTTGATACTCCTAACCTTAATTTAATGTCAAATAAATCAATCTTTCATCATTACAATTCGAGTTCGACCGTAAAGAGGTCCGTTGTGCTTACATTTTTGAGTAGGCCAGGTTACATAGCAGGTCGAAAGATGGCATGTCGAAAGATGTCGCCTATGCACGTAACACTGAAAGCGGGTGTAATGTAATAGCAGTCTATCTAAACGAATTGTATCTTAGTGAGAAAAACTTGATATATTTTAATAGAAGCCAGGCCTTGTTTTGGAACCCGTTTGTCTCCTTGTTATGGTCATCCTCACCTAACGGTTTCCTGTTATTTGTCGACCGTCGGTCAAAAAATCAACTCAGAAGTGCAGTTGTACTCAGTTTACGCATCTCGAAGTCGTGCACAAAATAAAAACATGTTCGCGTAGCAAGTTCATCATAATTTCATACTGGTGGAATAAGACGAAAAGAAGTGTGTACCTTTTAACTCTACAGCGTCCTTCCTCTGGCGGGGAGGGAAATAAGTGCTTGAAATACTTCTCTACAGACTCCTCAGTCAGTGCAGCGCGTATAAAGGGAACATAAGATGGGTGGCGAGCAATGACACCTGTGGCGAAGGTACATAAAGTTAAACATTCAGTGTGATGTAAGGCAAAGTTTTGTCTTTACATAGGAAAAAGTGATGAACACCTTTGGCGCTTATAAAGATCTATAAAGCGACTGACAGTATGACTAGTCCTCCCGGATGAGATGCTAATCTAAAATGACTGGTTCAACGATTTCGTTTGTAATTGCCCTGGCTGTGATTGGTTCTTGTCAGCTACATCTGTCACAATGAGAAGAGAAAAAGCCAGCCGGGATAATGGTCGCACAGAGAGGTTAGGCGACCCGCCTAGGATTGTAGTGCGGTGATTTTTCTCGCTCAATCTTTTCTCTTACCTTCTGGTTTAATTTAACTTGCTCTGTTTCAAAGGCTTAAAAAGAGCATATTCAGATATTGAACAGTGTAGTACCTATATTCACATTATTTCCTTTGTCACCACTCCTTGTAAGTGCCAATGAACTTAGCGGAAATGTACAGCGGCCCTTTGGCATTCCTTAAGGAAATCAACACAAACATGAGCATTGCCAGTGAAGAATTACAGATAATCATGTCTATATAATTTATTTATGGAAGATTCATAGCTCGTACTTATCCTGGGCGTGGCTTCATGTGTTCTCATCTCTCTGTCTCTCTCGGCGTGTGGCTCATCTGGTACTGAGGGCGACATCGTCTCGACGTATTCACCATTTATGTGAATATCAACCTGTTGGCAAGAAAGACCAGACTTAAAAGGAAACCATCTCTCCTTACCGACCTGTAGTTTACAATTTGTTCACCAGATATTTATTACCCTGCCTTATTTTTCCACCAGGGGAGAGAGAAATAACTGTAACTAACAACTAGATAATTAAGGCGATTGATATCTAGATAATTTATGCATAAATAATCTCTTATCTATTAAGTAATATTTTTTTGTGTCTTAGATAATTTATGCATAGAAAACTTGGAAGGAAAAACTTTCCTCAATCTATCTCGGGCAAAAATAAATAAATAAACCTTGCCAATCAAAAACGTTTCAAGATCAAGTTAACTAAGTTTTCATTGATTTGTTCATACACTGTTTTGAACCACCAATTTAATAATCAATTTCTTCACATTTTTTGGTTATTTTTGTATTCTTCTTTAACCAGGCTTGGTTTTTACCGGAAAATGTTAAATTATATCTATACCTTGACTTTCTCCTTAGGATACAAGAAAGAATACAGCCTCAGCAGTGGTGATCTAGCCAAGATGGAAAAAAACATCGTTTAATTTAAAACAAAACAACAAAGTGAATTATTCAAAGGAAAATGGTAACATGAGATTTTTATTCTTACACTCTAGGTCTGCCTCCTACAATAGCAGTCAATCCAGGAGCTGCAAAGGAAAGACTATATTCTTTAAATAAATCAAATATCTCCTGAAGTAGAAGAAGGGTGTGTCTTAGCAGGAGGGGGAGGGGGAAAAATGAAATGAAACACAAGATTGGTTTTCTCAGTTGTGTAATCAGCCTGGCTCTAAATTTATTTTCCCATAATAATATAGGTAATTTGCTCTATCACTTCTGTTAAGGCTCAGTCTGTATTGTGTGCAGTGTTTTGCTCAGTCCATGTATTAAAAAATTAACACCAGCCAGATTGAAACCTGGAAAGATTAGTTTTCTGTTTTACCAAAAACCTGGGTGCATGCCATCCTTCTTTGCCAAACAGCACGCCAGATTTCTAACATGCTTTTGTGAAAAAAGTGCAAAAATTGGATGTTTATAATCATAGTGTAATAGAAATTAAACACCAAAGTTTTTGTTTGGTACATACCCATGCTAGTTCCTGCAGAAGCAATCTCCATTGCAAACAGTTCCAGCGCTTTTCTCTGTTGGTGATGAACTGCCAGCCATAACACTGCTTCTCTTGGATTCTTCAATGGACGGGAAAAAGTGTCACAAAAAAACTATGTAATAATTATTTTATTTACAATTCCATCAGTTACTAAAGCAAGTTTGCATGCATTTTCTACATCTTTTGTACTTTTATTACTTACGGCTGTCAAAACCCCTGGAAAGGCATGTTTTCCATAAGTCTGCTCAGATCCTAATACCTAAAAAGTTGTAATAAATATGTTATTATTGCATTGTTCTTGTGAAGTGTAAATCAGAGAATTTAAGAGAAACCATCTTGACAAATTATGAAGCAGCTTTATAAACAAAGACTCAACAAAAGCCATGCTCCAATTGGATTTAAACATGTGACCTTTTGAATTTTCAAACTCTCAGTGGCAGTGTCATAGAGTGTGCAGTGCACAGAGCCAGACATACTAATCAATGAAATCAGTGAGTAATCTGTAGGTAATCAATGAATTATCAATATGACCTTAGAATATTTAAGGTACACTAGGTGACAATAAAGCACTCTTGCTAAAACAGCTTAAAGGTTGCTAAATACCAAATCATAGTACTATAAATAGGGGTGACAATTTTAACAATGGTAACAATAAAGATCTCTTACTAAAACAGCTTAAAGGTTGCTAAATACCAAATCATAGTACTATAAATAGGGGTGACACTGTTACCTGGACATGAGTTCTTGTGTAATCATCCAACTTCAGTTCTTCAAACATTCTTCTTGTCCTTTGAAATTGTATGACATAATATTAAGTGGGCAAAGGTCAGGGTTCAATACAGAGATGAATACCACTTATAATAAGTCCTTGTGCAAGACTGTAGCCATGCACCCAGGCTCAAGCTCAAACTTCTCATTCACTTAATACCAATAAGTGAAAACTAATCTAAAGGCCTGGCAGCATATCTGAAAACTTTAGTGACTGCCATCATATGAAACATGCTTAAAAAACCCTAGGGGAGAAGAAACTGTGAATTATGTTCTGGACTCTGAAACCTCTGGGCACCACATACCAGACTAATTAAGTGCAGTTACATTTTGCAATGTTCACTATTCTAGACTACACACCAAAACATCTTAGGTAACTTATTATAGATTAAAGACTGGTGAATGATAAATGTGAGACTTTGTGAGAAGGCGAGACTAGTGTTTTTCTTTGTGAGCCCAAGACATGTTGACTTCTTCAATTACAAAACAGACTGAGACCTCAAAGTGTTTTAAATGTTAACTCAAGATATTCAGATATTCTGGGATGTTGAGAAGTCATTTCTAAACAAGACGTGTGCGCTACTGACCTCAACTCCAACTTCCAAGTATTAATTCCTAATTTAGACAAAGTTCTTTAAACCTCTGATCAGTCTCCCAGTAATTGATCACACACTATCCTAGACCAGATATTTCCAATTTCTATACCTTATTCAAGGCTATGTGTTAACTGTTTGTAAATAATATTCTACTCTATAGTTTACATTTTGGTGCACCCCTCTCCTCACTAACAATACTAAATGTACATGTAATTCCAAGGGGCACATCATTACCTTTTCAAGAGGGCTTCACCAGTTTTCTTTGCTTTCAGTGATGCAAATGGCCCCCCAACAGGACACACTGCAGTGGCACGGAAACCATCAGCATATGTAGCACACACCTGAATGTACCCCAAGAACACATTATCAGCATTGGTTCACATGTGACTGACATCCAGTATTTCTGATTCCTTTGGGACTAAGCAGTGCAACTTTGTGAAAGAACATGCTATTTGTTGTCAAACTTGCAATATAGTTGGTCATTTTCATTGACAAACTATCTTACTCTCATATATGACTTTTCTTGTGTTCACCGATGAAGCATGCAAAATAAGTCCAATCTAAACTATTTTGCACTTTATCAGGTATCCAACAAATTTGTGCTCAGTTGGAAACACATCAGAACTTTTTATACATACATGTACTGTAAACAAGGTTTACACAAAAGGTAGAAGCATGACTTGAAGAAGTTCACACCATGACCGTCCATAATACGCACTTTCTTGAAAAGATTTAAGAGGTGAGCCATCAGTAACCGGTTGAAAGCATGCCAGGTATTTGTTGGCCGACAATTGGCCAACAGCTGACTGATTCCACACATTGAATGCTTAATCATACAATTCTACATTTTAGTCATAACGTCATCTACATCACAAACTGTACTCTTTAGAAAGCGATTAACACCATTTAACATCATTATCACCATGTTGTAAGTGAAAAGCTACCCCAGTTTGATCTGTAACAGTTAGTAACAAGAGATACCTTATACGAATCTGTGGCTGGCTCTCCAGTTGCTCCTTGCACAAGAACTGCTCCACCATCATATCCTAACCAAGGAATACAAAGTGCTCTCTTGGTCATTAAATACTAACAGTGTATTTTAGCATTATATCTAATGGGACATGACTGCTTTCTGTTGATAGCACTGTACATAACAATGACCAATGACCAATCATTGTCATCACCTAACAAATATTCTTTTTGATGAGCTGTACTACAATAACTACACATAACACTAAAATTTAGAAAAGTACAGCAATCAGTATAAAGAATTCGTTAAGTAAATAATACTATTTGTCCTGTGACTGTTATCACTCACCAATGAGTCCTTGAAGCCTAACTTGTGTAAAGTCACAGGTAACATCTGGAAGAATGTACTGAGCTGGATCTCCTAGTTCATAAACAAGCTACCAAAGACACACAAAATAAAATATTTAATAGGAAGTAAGTAAAATTGTTGTCTAGAAGAACAGTGCATTTAACCCCCAGAAGTGGACACCCTTAGGACCAAACAAAGTGACCACTTAGTCTTAGGAGAGGTGTCCATCTCTGAGAAGTTGAAAATTCAGTGTTTCTACATAGCCAGGACCATGAACATGTGGCATGTCCACCAAGGAGATGCTGCACCCCGTGTCCATTAGCAGAGGTTCAATTGTGAAGTAAAAGTATACAATACACATGTGTAAGCATGTCCCA